CCGGAGCGCGCCCCGCCCGCCCGGCTGGCCCGCTCACGCCTGGCCTGCGGGAACCCTGGGTGCTGCGGGGCGCGCGGGAACGTCGCCCTCCCCCGCTCTGCGGCCGAGGCCACCCGAGCTCAAGGGGACCGGCCGGGAGTTCCGGAACCCTCTTCAGCATCACCGGGAGCCCGGATCCGGCGCGGGCGGGGCCGCTGGACATCAGCAGGCCGAGGGAGGGACCCGGGCGGACTTCCAGGGTTACCTGACCCCGTACTGAGCTGGAGGGCCGCGGCCTTGGCAGTGAAAGCGGCAGGACCCCGGGCCGGGGTGTAAGGGAGGGGCTGCCCCAGCCTCTTCCCGGACCCGCGCAGATGGCATTTCAAGCGGGGAAGCTGGGCCCAGAGGCGGTGGGCATTCCGGGGTCCCGCTGCAATATTCCAAATTGTACCAGGACCTCAGGACTTTCCCAACCCGGGTGGGTAAGGAGAGGAATTCCCATCTCCCTGTTGATCAGAGCTGGGAGCAGATAAACTTTCATTTAAGGAAGTAACAATAACATTTCTTGTAACCCGTGTTGTATGATTCAAATGTATTTCATTTCACTTGAAGGGCTGTGTTGAGGGTCACTGGTGCAGAAAGAGTCCTTCGGGTGCTCGGAGGGTTTCCGAGGGATTATTGCGCCCATGAGCAGCAGCGAGCCAAAGGCAAGGTGACTTCAGGATGAGCCTGATGCAGGAGTGAACGCGGCCTCCGGCTGGAAACACTTCCAGCCTCCGGGACATGGAAGGGCTCTGGTGTCACTGGCTTGACTTAACGGGCTGGTGCTGCGCCACCCACGGGGCACAGGGGACACGAGTGTTGTAAGCAGCAGTGCTGGTTGGCAGTCAGCAAGTCCCCTCCTCCATTCCATAGTCACCTGAGAGCGCCCAGAGGCCTCTGCTCTCTACAACCCCAGGTAGGAGCCCTGGCCTGGGCGGGCAGGGACTGTGGATCAGTCAGCTGTTCTGTCCCTGAGACACAATACCCAACATCCACAACTGAAAGGTGTTGGGGTTCATGCCTAGGTGTCCCCCACTCGTGGAGGAGGCTTTTAGGTGACTGAGTCATGGGGGTGCTGTAGCGGACCTGCTGTTGTGTGTCTACTGAGAAGAGGTGGATTGCTGGGGTCATGGCCTAGAAGGGTTTATGTCTCTCCCCAGCTCCTCCCTTTTCTCTCTTTGCTTCCCATACTAGGACATGAGCAGCTTCCCATTGCTACGCTCCTTTATCATGCCTCGGAGTCACTGGATTGTGGACTGAAACCTCTCCTTTAATTTGTGGGTGTTGGGTTCTTGTGTCCCACTGACCAGGAAAGCGATTAGCACAGTAAAGGTTCATTTGACTCGTGGTTTCAGAGGGTTCAGTCTGTGGTTTGATGGCTCCAAGGCAGGAATGTGCTTAGTTCATAGTGACCAGGAAGCAGAGTAAGGGGACAGCTCCAGAGAGGAAGGGGTGTGGCATCATGTATAGGCCTCAAGGTCAAGCCTCCAGTGACTCACCCTTACACACTGAGGGGTTTGCACTATACTAAAGTGCTAGGCTTTTTTTTTTTTTTTTTTTTTTTTTCCAGGGTCTCATCATGTGGGTCAGGCTGGCTTTGAACGATGTAGCCCAGCCTAGCCTCAAACTCAAAGTGATCCTCCTGCCTCAGCCTCCTAAATGCTGGGATTACAGGCATGTACCACCATGCCCGGCTGTGCTAGGCATTTCTTAATCTAATAAAATTGACTTATCAGGATTAACAGTAACACAGTACCTAGAGTGTTGGCAAACTATCTCCCTGTAGCCACACTGTGACTTTATACCTCCCCTCAAGAGGTGCCGTCTGTGTTCTCCATCCCTGAACCTGGTCCGACCCCCCTGATTCTCTTTGGCCAGCACCTGTGGTGGAAGTGGCTGTCAGGTCAGAGTTTAGGCCTCAGTGGCTTTGTAGGTCTCACTTGTCCTCTTGAAACCTCCCCAGTCCCATAAGCATGGCCAGGAGCCTGCTAGCATGCGACACCAGGTGAAGGACAGCCAGTTGTCCCCAGGCCATCCGGGCCCACCCCATAGCCAGCCAGCATCAGAACCACACCAGCACCAACACCTGAAAGCACAGGTGTTCACGTGGGGCCCCCTTCCTCTGTCCCTGTGTGGGCCATCTGAAAGAAAATCAGGCTGGCCCAGTGTTCTTCCTGGACCTTTCCCTGCCAGACGCCTGGGGGAAGTGGGGCTTGGGGACACTCCCAGTAGGGGCTCTTCTCTGAACATTCAAACATCCCACTGCACAAGTTCCCCAGCCAGTGTGAGGCCCAGAAGCCTGCATTTGGCTGGTTCCCATGTGTCTACAGAAGCACCAAGGTCCCAGGCTGCTCTTCAAACTGGGGATAGGCGGGGCTGGGGATTTAGCTCAGCAGCAAAGCACCTGCCTGGCAAGCACAAGGTCGTGAGTTCAATTCCTGGTACCAGAAGAAAAACAAAACAAAAACAAAAAAAAACTGGGGATAGGGCCTGAGGGAGCAACTTCAGTGTTAAGGGAGGTTCAGAGAAGACTTGAGGACAGCTTTTGGGTTGCTATCTGTGGTAACTATTTTCCAACATCCTGACTTCAGTGGGTTAAAATCACAAACAGAAAACCCTAACTTTTCCTTAGGCTGTGTCATGCAAGTTACTAACATTCTATCTACAAATCTGGTCTTTTTTTGTTTTGTTTTTCTCAGTACTGGGAATTGAACTAAAGGCCTCATGAATGCTAAGCAAGTACTCTACCACTGAGCTATATCTCTAACCCTTTAAAAAAATTATATTTTGGAATAGGGGCTCAGGGGTTCAGGCTGGCCTTGAATTATGCTCTTCCTGCCTCAGTGTCCCAGGTAGGCCGGATAACTCTAGTCGTTATTATTTTAATTAGTTACATATGGCCCCATTTATTCCTTAAACATTTTAAACTGCATTTATACATGTGGAATCTAATTTTACTTTTTACTCTTTCAGTTGTCTGCCTTATCAAGTAATTAAATATTTTCACAGATGTATTACATGTCTATATTCCTCATTTTTTCTTTTTGTATCGAGAATCCAACTCAGAGCCTCATGCTTGTCAGGCAGGTGCTCTGCCATTGAGCTACATCCCTGGCCCTATATTTCTTTTAAATGTGGTCACGAAATCTGAAAACTCTAACTTTCAACTTAAAATCACTACCAAAATCAAATGCTGAAACATATATTTGCTATCTACCATGCCAACTTCCTAACAGAATATCAAACACAGACATTGTATGGCCAGGCATGGTGGCCCATGCCTGTAATCTCAGCACTCGGGAGGATGAGGCAGGAGGATTGTAATTTCAAGACCAGGCTGGGCAATTTAGTGACTTAGCAAAGCCCAGTCTCAAAAAATAAAAGGGCTGGGGACATACTTTGGTGTGAAGGCCCTGGGTTCAGTTCCTCTTACTGTGAAACACAAAACACCACCCTGGTTTAGATTTATCTGAGACAAGGTCTTGCTATTGTAATGCCTGGGGAGGGCTGTACACCATGCCATGCTATGCCACACTATAACTAACGTCCGAGGGTCGATGTCACATCACTGCTCTGCTGGGACATGCAGCTCTGGCAATCTTAAATCCAACATCAGTAAAGAATTAAAGAAGTGGCCAGGCATGGTGATGCACACCTGTAATCCCAGCACCAAGAGGCTGAGAGAGGACTGCCTCGAGTTCAAGGCCAGCCTTAGTTACATAGTAAGTTCAAGACCAGTTTAAAATTAAAAGATGATTTATTTGGCGATGGGGAAGGAGAAAGAAGTGGACAGCTATTCTGGACAAGCAGGGAGAATTCAAATGTGAGTTGCTCGTTTATCTTTTTTTTTCCCGGTACCGGTACCGGGAATTGAACTCATGACGTCGCGCTTGCCAGGCGGGTGCTCTGCTGCTGAGCTAAATCCCCAGCCCCCAGATCTTCTTTCTTTCTTTTTGTTTTTTGTTTTCTGGTACCGGGAATTGAACTCATGACGTCGTGCTTGCAAGGCAGGTGCTGTGCCACTGAGCTAAATCCCCAGCCCCTGATTTTTTTTTTTTTTTTTTTTTTTTTGTGGATCTTCTTTTTTAAACAAATAGCTTAACTATTTTGTTTGCACCTAAGCTTATTAACACTATATAATGGAAATGTACAATGATGTTACAGTCTTTGGTGAGATGTAAATCAAAGAGATTCACTGATAAGGAATCTTTGAATGTGCCTATTCTAGAAATTTCTCTAACTCATCTGATCAGAACATTCATCTCTGAATGTTACCTTACTTTGAATGGCATTGGCATACACTTGGATTTAACTCAGAATCTTTCAAAATAAACTATAATTTAAAAAGCTATTCTAAAGCCAGGCGTGGCAGCTCATACCTGTAATTCCAGCACTGCTGAGGCAAGAGGATCCTTGTCAGTTTGAGGCCAGTCTGGGTTACAAAGTAAGCTCAAAGCCAGCCTGAACTGCACAGTGAGACCCTGTCTCAAAAAGACCCAAAAAAAAAGCTATTCTATATTCAAACTAAAACAATTTTAATAGAACTTTCCTTTCCAGTAACAACAACAAAGGAAACAAGGCATTTTGTAAAATGTGGTCCTCAACAAGTCACAGTAAAAAATAAATATAAAAATAAATGTATGCTTAATTTCTACCTCCTCAAAACAGAGGCTACTTTCTGTTCCACAGGCTCGGTGATCACAAGGAAAGAATGCAACTTTTTTTTGTAGTAGCAGGAATTGAACTCACAACCTCATGCTTGCCAGGCAGGCACTGTGCCACTGAGCTATACAGCCTTGCAAACAAAGTAAAGAACACCCTATAAGCAACCTTGGGCAAGGGGTTGCCACAACAAAGCTCAAGTGGTTGAAAACGGACATCTCAGAAGAGTCTGGGGGAACCTGACTAAAGGATTTGAATTCTATTTTAATAAGCGAATAAAGGTGAAGTGGCTCCTCCCAGATAGCACTGCTGCCAGGGTCCTGTGCTAGGTTATGCGCTCGCTCTAGGAGAGATCTTTTTCCTTTATAGGCTTAGTGTCAGGGAGCTCTCTGTGTGAGTGAGGTGAATGATGACTCCACGGGATATTTTTTTGTTGTTTTAAATTTTATTTTTTGGGAACTGAACTCAGGACCTCACGCTTGACAGGCAGGCGCTGTGCCATTGAGCTATAGCTCCAGCCCATTTTGTTTTATTTTATTTTATTTACTGTCTTTTATTCTTTTATTGATTGATTGATTGATTGTCTTTTTGAGACAGGGTCTTGCTATGTAGTTCAGGCTGGCTTTGAGCTCACTTTGTAGCATGGGCTGGTCTCGAACTCACAATGATCCTCTTGCCTCAGCTTCCCAGGTGCTGATACTTTATTTTAAAGAGCTTTTGTTTTTATTTTTTTTAAGAGTCCTTTTTTTTTTTATTTTGTTTTGGTCTTTTTGAGACAGGGTTTCTCTGTGCAGTTCAGGCTGGCCTTGAGCTCACTTTGTAGCCCAGGCTGGCCTCGAACTTGCAGTGATCCTCCTGCCTCAGCCTCCCGAGTGCTGGGATTACAGGCGTGTGCCACAACACCTGGCTTCATGGGGTATTTCAAGGCTTGGAGTCAAAGTACTTTTCTAACAGGATAGGTGGAGTTCATGTGTCTAGGCCTATTTGTTTGTTCTGATTTCTCATCACACATTTGTAGATGTAGGACCACAGGTCTTTGCTCTATCATCATAATCATACTTAATGTCCATCTTAATTTACAATTCATATTCTGTGCCTGGAAACAGTCCCTGTATTTAACAATAATACCTACACATAAAACAATCCACTTTTACAATTTATATGGTCACAAAACATTAATGATCTTCTGCAGACCAAGCAAATGTTTTTAACCATAATTGTCCTGCATCAATTCACAGTCAGAATCTCCAAGATCAAAAAAATTTTGAGCCCGCGTGGTGGCACACACCTGTAATCCCAGCATTCAGAAGACTGAGGCAGGAGGATCACTGTGAGTTGGAGACCAGCCTGGGCTACGAAGTGAGCTCAAGGGCAGCCTGAACTGCATACTGAGACCCTGTCTCAAAAAGAAAAAAAAAAAAAAAAACTGATAAAAATTTTGAGACAATACAAATAATAATATATACATACACACATATAAACACACTTTTTTTTTTTTTTTTTTGTACTAGGAATCAAACTCATAACCTCATGACCTCATGCTTGCCAGGCAGGCGCTGTGCCGCTGAGCTATATCCCAGCCCCTACACACTTCTCTCAGAACTGTGCTTGGGGAAACTCCATTTGTTGAGTGCCCCTGAAAGCATAAACAGCTGCTCCAAGTATTTTTGTTTGGAAAAAACTATCACAGTAGGGCAGAGCTGTTCATTGGATGAACAGAAAAGAAAGATATGCTTGTGGCAACCAAAAAGTTTTAAGGTCTTTCAAGCTGTATAAAGTGGACCTGCAGAAACAGGATGCAAAGTTTGCAGCTGAAATGTGATATCAAACCATTTGCAAAAAGTGTACCACAGCGTAGCCAGATGCGGCACACACCTGTAATCCCAGCACTCGAGAAGCTAAGGCAGGAGGATCATTGCAAGTCCAAGGCCAGCCTGGGCTACAAAGTGAGCTCAAGGCCAGCCTGAACTGCATAGCGAGACCCTGCCTCAAAAAGACCAAAAAAAAAAAAAAAAAAAAAAAGTGTACCACAGCCATCTCTTGAGGCCAAACCTGGTACCATATATGCAAGAAAGCTTCAGGTTACCTAGCTTGTTGGCCTTGTCCCATATTGCCCCATAATTTGATCATGTGTGAATTTCACAAAAGATTCAGATTGCTCTACTAATGTGGTTTTAAGGATTTGCTCATACTTCTCTCAAATTTTACCTTCATAATCTCTTAAAAGCTTCTCACATATTATTCCAACGTGTGGAAGGGTAAAGCTGGGCTGATTCTTCATCTAGGAGGAACCTGGAGAACCAGGTGCCAACTCGTGGATCTCCTGTCTACAACTCCTTTTATCGAGATCCTTGTCCCACATAGGCTCTTGGCTCCTTGGCTTGTTTTATCCTAATCTTTGATTTCTTTTGGCATGGTGACCTTTTCCCTGCCAGAGGAGGGTAAACTTATGGGTGGGGCCTTAAGGACAAGTAGTTTAGGTTTAAGGATTAAATAAAGGCAAAGTTTGTGACTCACAGTTAATCATGTTAATCACAATACCAGGGACATTCCCAGACCTAGTTTTTTCACCTTTGTCTACCTAATTGTCAAGTCTAGCTGCCTTTGTCTTTCTAATTGCTGCCTTTGTCTTTGGAGTCTGACTGTTGAGGTCGGAGATGTTTTATTAATTTTTTTCTCTTCCTTACTTGTTTAATTCTTTTTTATTTTAAAGAGAACTTAAAAAACTCGATTCAGAGTTTCAAAACAAGATGATTGGAAATTAACAATGGTTATTGTTATCTTCAAAGTAGTTGCTCAGATTACCAGATATAGACATGCAAAATTGATCGAACAATATAAGCCCTATTCCTTTCAATAAATAGAAATTAGTAGTAAAATTATCTTAGATATCTTGTGTGTGTATATATATATATTTTCCCACTTCCTTCTTTGCTCCTTTCCCTAGTTGTTCTTTCCTTTCCAGCAGTTTCTTTGTCTTTCACAGTATCTACTGGATCTTACTTACTCTTTCAATTTCTTAAGGGAGAAAATACAAGGTTTACACATGTGGGTCTGATTTATTTCACTTATGAGTATGGTCTCTAATTGCATCCATTTACCTACAAAAGCCTTATCTTTTTTATAGCTTGAGTAGTACTCCGTTGTATAGAAATACCACTCTTTTTTATCCATTCCTCGGTGGATGGGCATTTGGGTTGTTCCCAAGATTTAGCTATAGAAACTGTGCTGCTGTAAACATAGATGCACATTTATCACTGAATATGCACCTCACAGATGAAGAAATATGAAGAGCAAATAAATGTATGAAAAAATGTTCAACATCACTGCTCATTTGAGAAATGCAAATTAAAACAGCACTGAGATTCCATCTCACCCTGGAAAGAATAGCTATCATCTCTTGATATTGGTCTTGATACTGGTCTTTTTTTTTTTTTGGTTTTTCTGTGGTACCAGGAACCGAACTCACGACCTTGCGCTTGCCAGGCAGGCGCTTTTGCCGCTGAGCTAAATCCCCAGCCCCGATACTGGTCTTGATATTGGTTATCAACCAATAAATGCTGGCGAGGCTGCGGGCAAAAAGGAACTCTTTTCCTCTGTTGGTGGGAGTGTAGACTGGTACAACCACTGTGGAAATCAGTGTGGATATTCCTCAAAAAACTAGAATTAGAGGTCCTATTTGATCCCGCTATTCCCCTTCTGGATATTTTTCCAGAATTGTTTTATTATTTACTTTTTTCTTTTTGTCTTTTTGAGGCAGGGCCTCACTCTGCAGTTCAGCCTGGCCCCGAACTCGCAATAATCCCGCCCCCGCCCCCCCCAACCTCCCGAGTGCTAGAATTACAGGCGTGCCCCACCACGCAAGGCTGCTTTATTAATTTTTAATAAAGCTCAATGAGTCTTTATCCTATCTCCCTACACTATGTGGTCAGGCTGGCCTGGAACTCAGCATCCTCCAGCTTCAGCCTTCGGAATGGTGGGATTACAGGCGTGGGCTACCAGGCCCGGCTCAACACTGGTTCTGATCTGCTCTGTCACTCCCATAAATGTCTCAGTCTTCCAGGGTACAGCCCCCACGTAAGGAGGAAACCCATCCCACATATCTGGGGACCTTCACACATGTACCCTGCCTAGGGTCCGAGAGTACCGGCGGGGACGGCCATGAGTAGGTCTAGACCTTTCCAGCACAAGAGAAGTCCCCGTCACTAAATCCAGGCGCAATTCCAGCCTGGGGCCCAAAGTCGAAAAAACCCGTATCCAGCTCTACTCCGACTCTGGCCCACTGCTCCGACAGGAGCTTCCCGGGGTCGGCCACGCTGCCGCCCACACTCTTCCCTTGAGTTCGTCTCCCCCGCTCAGGCGAGGCAACTGAAATCTGCCTGAGCGGAGGGCGGGAGGGCTGCGGCGCCCAGCGCTCCGCACCCTGCGACTTGCGGGCGCTGCCCCAGAGACCGAGCGCTCCCGCCGCTGCGGGGCCGCAGCTCTCGCTCAGGTCGCTCTTCCGGCGCGGATACCAGCTGCCCGGGGACACCTCGACCCGGCGGGCGACCCGGCCCCCGAGGCCCGCCCCCCGCGCTCAGGACCGGGCGGCCGGCCGGCGTGTCCCCTCCCCCAGCTGCCTCCCAGCTCGAGGCTCCGGCCGACAGGGACGGGCGGCGCTCCCGGATCGCTCCCAACCATTAGTCTGCAAGGGCCTGGCTCACGGGCGCGGGTCCGGCAGATCCTCAGAGACCCGGCCGAAGCCATTTCCTCACAGAAGCCTCCCTGACGGGCGAGGAAACGGAAACCGGAGAGGGGGCACTGACTGGCTGGCGGTGACTAGCGTTCCCTTCCACGCCGCCAGCCGGCCGCGTCTGGCATGGGGAACCACAGCTGGTGAGCGCGGTAAGGGCAGGCTCCGCTGCCTCAGAGACCACAGCCAGCGGCAAAAGACCAGCCAGCCGCAGGGCGCATCCGCGCAGCCGAACACACGACTCCCGAGAAGCCTTGCGGGCAGAGCGGCCCCGAGGGCGTTATCGCGGGAAGTGAGAGATAGGGCGCACGAGCGTGGGCGGGGCCGGAAGGAGGTGCGTTTCAAAGTGGTGATAGACGGTTTTCCTATCCAATGGAATTGAAAACATGCCACCTTAGCCTGTGGACCACGGGCTCAGGGGCGGAGGCGGCCAATGGGAACTTACCAGGGGCGAGGCAGACGCCTGCGGAGCGGAAGTGGGTTGCTTTGAGACCGCCGAGTCTTGCTTGAGCGGGTCTCCTCAGCGGCTCGCGAAGGTGTTTTTTCGCTCTAACCGGTTGGCGACGGCGGCCAGGTAAGCCGTAGTGAAGAGCTACCTTCGCGGGAAAGGCGTTGCACGTCCAGGCGGGGAGGAAGTGGGTTTCGGGCGGCTTCGAGGCCTTCAGTGGCCTCGGCGCCCGCCTGGCGCGGCTCTGACGCGCTGGAACCCCGCACCCGTGCGGGGCCTCCCCGGAGCCTGGAGCCGGCTCCACCCACCCCGCCGTGTGCGCGAGTGCCCTGCTTGGCCTAGGCCGGCCCGGCGCTGGCGTCCCAAATGGGGAGGCCGCCGCCCGGAGCTGGGCTCTGGCCCGCGGGCCTGCGCCCGCCGCCGAAGGAGGGAGACTGAGGCCCGCGGGTGGTGGGACGCGCCCAAGGTCAGTCGAAGAGGCAAGCGAGGCGGACGGTTCGCGGGGAGGCCTGGGCGAGCGCGTTTGTTTCCCGAGGACGGGGCCGCCTTTGTGTGCCCGCGCCGCCGCCCCGCCATCGAGGGGCCGCGTGGCGGGGCCGTTCTGGGCCGGAAGGAGCCGGGGACCGGGGCAGGCCCGGCTCCGGGAGCTGAGGAGGGCCGCAGCCCCAGGCCCTGGGGGCTGAGGCGTGTGGCTGGGCCCTGGGGCGCAGCCCCGGAGCGCCGGTGTACGCGTGTAGAACGGTGAGTGCCCGGTGCACACCAGTGGCCCGCCTTCGGCCCCTTCCCTGGAGGAGGAGAAGGGCAGAGGTTGACGAGCCATGCTTGTGGGTGTTTCAGCCTTTGTCTGGTCTTCGTCGGTGCGCACGGTCCCTCGCAGTCTTCACTTAGATTCTGCTTCTCCACTCAGTTCTCGAGCTAGATCTGGGGTCTCAGCTCTGCGTGGAACCGTGCCATACGCTCAGTGTAGGCTTCTCGAGTGTTCGGGAGACTGAGGCCCAGAAAGGTGAGATCGTCGGCCCAAGATCACACAGCCAGCTAGGTGGCGAAAGATTGAGTCTAGTTTCTGATTGCGTGGAGGGGAATCTTTTCATTTTCCCTGGTAATTTGGCCTTTTTTTTTTTTTTTTTTTTTTTTTTTTTGTCTTTTTGAGACGGTTTCACTGTGTAGTTTCCGTTCGCCTTGAACTCACTACTTTGTATCGCAGGCTGGCCTTGAACTCTCAGCGATGCTCTTGCTTCGGCCGCCTGAGTGCTGGGAATACAAGTGTACACCACCACGTCCAGCTTTGATTTGGTTCTTACTGGATGAAGAGACGTTGGATTCAGTTTTACTTGTGTGAGATAAGATGGGAACTTGTAAGTGGGAAGGTGTATTGTTAATACTTGATTTTGACCTTCCTGCTCTCAAGAATTTCGCTTTAAAAGCTGGTTGTGGTGACCCACGTTGTAATCCCAGCAGGAGGCCAGGTGGGAGGATTGCCTGGGCAACATGGTGAGTTCAAGGCCAGCCTAAACTGTGTAGCCAAACCCTGTCCAAAACACAAAAAGAAAGAACATTGTTTTAATAGTGTTTATCAACCTTTTCATAATTTACTACTCTAAGGAGTTTTTTCAGACATTGATTTCCTAATCATTCCCTGTATGAAATTTTACTGCCATATATACCTGTATTTTATTAAAATTGGTACATATTATTTGCATCCTCTTTGACAATACATGCCTTAAAATACTGTAAGTAACTTGTGGAGGTCTTCTGTGTGCCAGGCTTTCTATTTGGGGTATAACCTAGCTGGCCCTTCTGGGGGTGGGGTGGAGGAATTGAAAGGGAGTCCCTGCATGGGAATCTAGATGGTGCAAGAGGTGTGGCAAAAGTTGGTTTGGAGAAGCCCAAGTGGAGCTTCTCTTGCCATTAAATGCTAAGCTGGGAAGGAACACGGTTAGAGTTGTGTTTTAGAAAAATTACTGTGCCTGTGTGAGAAGGGTGTATTAGGTGAATGAGACTCGTGATCTTGGAGCTGGGATCTGTCTGTGCGGCACATGCCTGTAATCCCCGACTGCTCGCTCTGCTAAGGCAAGGTTGGTAGTTCGCACCACCACCCGGTTCCAGGAAAGATTTGGAGTGCTTAATAAAAATACATGCACAGAGTAATTGGTTCATTCAGTATGTATAAAAGTGGTTTTGTGTATTGTGTGCCTAGTATCTTACTTTGAAGTGCATTAGCTATGTTTTTTACTGTTCCCAGATTAGTATTAGTCCTTCTTTTTGATAATTTCATTGATTATAATTTCACTGAGGAAAATTTGTTTATGTGCTGTGCCCAGGGTTGTGCTTCAGTTAGGGCAGTGTTTTGTTTTTTGTTTTTTGGGTTTTTTTGGTCCTGGAGGCAAGGTCTCCATGCAGTTCAGGCTGGCCTTGAGCTCACTTTGTAGCCCAGGCTGGTCTCAAACTCAAGGATCATCCTGCCTCAGGCCCCCAAGTGCTGGGATTACAGGTGTGCACCACCATGCCTGGCAACAGCTTTGAACATAATGTGAATTTGATTTTGCTGGTCACAGTTTCACCTGTGAGAGATAGTAGGTAAACAAAAAATGAACCCAGCTGTGTTAGTCATCTTTCATCACTGACAAAGTACCATAGTTAAGCAGAAAGAGAAAAGATTGATTTTGGCTGATAGTTTGAGTTTTCAGTCTAATATCATTCAGCCCCGTTGCTCTGCGCTTATGGCAAAGCCAAACCTGGGGAAAGGGTGTGGTAGAGCCAGGTGCTTATAAGGATGGCTTCCAGCAATCTAAGAGAAAGAGGAAAGAGCCAGGTTCCCAAAGCCTGGTCCAGGGAACCCCCAACTCCCTTGTGCTAGCCACATACTGTAAAGGCTCCACAACTTCCTCCTGGTGGTACTTTCGGCTGGGGACTCAGCCTTCAACACATGATCTTTTGGGGGACATTTAAGGCTCAAACCATAACACCAGCTGGGCCAAACCACACATTGCACATCTGGAACATCTATGAGCTATCTTTGTAGACTTCTTGTTTGAGAGCCACGCCTGTGAATGGCTGATACACCATTCATAAACCCCCAGGCTATGGACCTTTTGGAGCCCACTTCCCTGAGCAAATCTAAAGTACCACAGTTAAGAGCATTTCTTAACCCCTTAATGTGTGCAGAAGGGTGCTTGTATTGAGGAGCACATGTCTGTAACTACAGATGGCAACTTTGGACCTTTTTATTTTTTGAGACAGGGCCTTGCTATGTAGTTCAGGCTGACCGTGAACTCACTATGTAGTCCAGGCTGGCCTCCCACTCAGAGTGATCTTCCTATCTCAGCCTCCCAGCAGGTGAGTTCTGGGATTACAGGGGTGCCCCACCGCACCTGGCTTGGACCATATTCTTTGTGATCATTTTGGAGCCCTTGCATTGGTCTTAGATCTTTTGGAGCTGGCTGACTTTTTGAGTTGCCTTGTGAACGTTACTTTCTTCGGGCTCACATAATAATCATTCTTCTGTTCTCCTATCTTTTTGCCTCCTTTAGAGCATTACTAGAGTAGTAAATACATTGTTGTGCTTGTTTTTATCAAAGTAGGTATCGTTTCAGTTTAGAATATTCTCTCTCTGAGTTGGTGTTTTGTTCTGTTTTTTGAGTGAAAATTATACAGTTGGACCTTCATAACCAGGGTTCTGTTTCTATAGATTCAATCAACTGAGGGTGAGACATAGGAGGGCTGGGGGTGTAGCCCAGTGGCAGAAGGCTTACCAAGCATGCAGGAGGCCAATCTGCCTAAGGTTCTTTTCCTTGATTCAGATGGAAATTGTGATTCAGCAAAGTGCAGCGCTGCTAGTAGTCCTCATGTCACCAAATAATACCTGGTAATGCTGAATGCCCACAGTGACACAGCCAGTTTTTACTGTTGCTGCCAGCTGTCATCATCAATGCCAGCTTGTGCTGGACACTGTAGCTCAGTGGTGGCAGACCTGCGAGCAGCAGGCTGTTTGTATCATTGAAAGCTCTGAAAGGTTCACCATCACTCCTATAGGGGAATTCACCCCGCATTGCATCTCTACCGATGGTCCTCAGCTGCTGGCCTCTGGAGTTGTCTGGTGTTGTATACAGCTCTGTTTATTTGCTTTGTCCACATTACTCAGAATAAAAATCCCAAGTAGATTTACAGAACTTTTGGAATCCACACTGTCCCAGGACTAATCACACACAGGTAGGTTTCCAGGAACACCAACACAAGTCTTTACTGTAAAAGGCCATATGCTGCAGCACAGGGGGACTGGGACAGGAGGGGGCCCTCCTGAACAAAACCCTAGATGTCCCCAGGAAGTGCTGTGTAGCAGCTTGCAGACCCATATAGTCAGGATGAGGCCCGAAACCAGGGAATCTTCTGGAATGTTGCTTTGAATTTTGGGTATGCAAATAAGGGGCCCCATCCCTTCCTTCCTGGTCTCAGGCACTCCTGGGTACCCTCTCTGCTCCCCAGAAGGCAACAGTATGGCCTAGAGCGGGGAGGGGAACACCATGGTTCTTGGCTGCATTTATGTTAGAGTGGAGAATGGCACTTAGATGGCCAGGAAGGACACTGAAGCAAACTCCCAGTCCATTGGGGTGGAGGGATGCTGGCTACCAGCCAAGTCACAGGCCTGTTGAGCCAGTGCAAGGAAAATTGAGTCAAGCGCTTTTGCTCTGTCTCAGTGGTCCCCGCTACCACAAAAAAGAAAAAATACTTGGGATTGAAAAATGCCTTTAAAGGCTGGAGATATAGCTCAGCAGTACAAGTACCTGCCTGGCAAATGCAGTGTCCTGAGTTTGATTCCTGGTACCCAAAAAAAAAAAAAAAAATCCTCTGTGCTGAACATATACATACTTTTTTTTGTTGTCATTTATTTATTTGTTTTGGTTAAGACAGGGTTTTGTTGTATATTTCTAGACTAGCCTTGAACTCACTAGGTAGCCCAGGATGAGTTGGAACTAACAGCAGTTTTCCAGTGTCAGCCTCCCAAGTGCTGGGAGTACAAGTGTGCACCACCATACCTGATTTCTTGTCATTCATTCTTTGTTTTGGGGGGTTGTGGCAATATAAAACCTTTTTTTTTTTTTTTTTTTTTTGAGACAGGGTCTTGTTTTATAGCCCAAGTTGGCTTTGATCTTGCTGCAATCCTCCTGCCTCAGCCTCCCGAGTGCTGGGATTACGAATGTGCACCCAACCCCACAGGTTTTTTTTCTTCTTAGTACTTTGTTGTTGTTATTTTTTAAACAATATAGTCAAAGTGGTGGTACATGCCTGTAATCCCAGCACTCGGGAGGCTGAGGCAGGAAGGAAAATTGCTGCAAGTTCCAAGCCATCCTGGGCTGCATAGTAAACTCAAGGCCAGCCTGAACTGTACAACAAGACCTTGTCTCAAAAAAAAAAAAAAAAAGTACAACTACTCATGTAGTATTTACTTTGCATTATGTGTAAGTGATCCAGGGATGATGTGGGGAGATGTGTAGGTTGAATACAAACTCTGCCATTTTGTCTGAGGGACTTGTTTGTGGGTGGACTTGGTATCCGCAGGATCCTGGCCTCCCTGTGTGTACTGAGGAATGACCATCTGACCTCAGGAGTAGCTCCTCTCCTGGACAAAATTGCCCATGGTTGCTGGAAACTGCACTGGGCACTTTGCCTCTGCCTCACAGTTGTGCAGAACAGCTGCAAGGTGAAGGTGAAGACACTGGGTGGGCAGATGGGGCCTTTGCACAGTGTTCGGAGGCGAGGACTTCATTTTGTGCCTTTTGTGCCCTGCCCCCATTCTCCTTTTCTGCTGTTCCTTTCTTTGCTAGCAGGAGTAGGGGTCTGGGAGGCGGTGGTAGAGGCCAGGTTCCTTCTAACACTGCTTGCCTGTTTGTTTCTAGCCACAGGCCTGTGTACGTGATAAATCCACACACAGATGCCAGGGACAAAGTCTGTGTTGTCACATTCCTGCTTGAGGTGGGGGTGTTGGCATTGTAACATCCATGGTGGCTTTACTGGGGAAAACATCTTAGCAGTGACAAAATGATTAAGTAGACTAGAAAACCCCTAAACTCTCCTGCCTCTGTGCAGCCAGTCACCTACCCCTGCGCTCCCTGAGACTTCTGGTCACTTTTGTCTCTTCCCTGGGCTACATTCTGACTTGCTGAGCCTCTCTCTGTCCTCAGAGCACATAGATGTCACTGTCTCTAGCTGCAGTCTTAGTCATTATCTCTAAGACCTTGACTGGCCTGCCCGTAGGGTGTGGCTTACAATCCAAGCCCTCATCACATTTACTGTCCTCCTACACCATGCCACAGACCTCCCCAGGACATCCTTCCCAGCTGTTTTTTGAGCTTCTCTCCCTAGGTCACTTTGCACTTCCTGAGCCAGCAGCTTCTCCGGGCAGCCAGGCTGGTCTTCAGCACAGACTGGGCCTGGCTTGCAGACCTGTATTGGTCCCCAGCGTCACTTCCTGTCCAAGCTCACAGGCTGCTTCAGTGTCTCAGCCTCTGCTTCAGGGTTTTCAGTCTGTGTTCACTGCTGCTTTCTCCTTCAAACAAATGCAGGCTTTTGTGGTTTGTTTTTATTTTGGTTTTGGTTTTGCAGTGCTGGGGATCAAACCCTACGCCTCACACATGCTAGGCAGGTGCTCTACCACTGAGCAACAACTCCAGCCCTAAAAAAGGGGTTTTGTCTGAGTGAATATCCAGGTTCTGCCAGCTGTGTTTCTGGCTTTTACAGTCTCTTTACCAGTCTGTCTACTTGCCTTCCCAGATTTAAAACTACCCTCAGAACCTGTTTCTTTTCTGCCTTCTTCATTAAGTCTTTTGCTGTCATTGTTGCAGAGTAGCCAGCTAGATCCTCTGGCATGCATGTTCCTCTCATTCAAAAGTTTTGGAATTGTGGCATCTGCTGTACCCTGGTGTTTTCTTTGTTTTTTGGGGTTTTTTTTTTTTTTTTTTTTTTTTTTGGGGGGGGGTTTTCTCCGGTACCAGGAACCGAACTCACGACCTTGCGCTTGCCAGGCAGGCGCTTTGCCACTGAGCTA